AACACAACATTAGCCTGCAAAGGAGTGGAAACAGGGTTGCAAGTATGCATATTTGCAAGTCGTAGCAAATCAGTGACATACTTGCGCTGAGAGAGAAGCAAACCCTTGGAAGTACGACGAACCTCAACCCCAAGAAAGTAACTCAATGGACCTAAATCCCGAAGAGAAAACTCCTTAGCAAGACAAGAGATAAAATGCTGGACCAAACCAGAAGTGCTGCCTGTAAGAATAATGTCATCCACATAGACCAGCAAAAAACACAACTGCGACCCACGTCGATAGACAAAAAGAGACGGATCACAACGAGACTCCACAAAATCCAAGGTAAGTAGAAATGCTGCCAGCCGAGAATACCAGGCCCGAGGAGCTTGCTTAAGACCATACAAGGACTTATGCAGTTTACATACATAATGAGGGCGCACCGGATCAACAAACCCCTGTGGCTGAACCATATACACAGTCTGACTGAGAACACCATTAAGAAAGGCATTACTGACATCAAGCTGAGAAATCGACCATCCACGAGCCAGGGCAACAGTCAAAACGGAACGAATGGTGACCGGCTTAACAACCGGACTAAAAGTGTCAGTGTAATCAACCCCAAAAGACTGAGTAAAACCTCGAGCCACCAACCGAGCCTTATACCGCTCAATAGAGCCATCAGCATGAGTTTTAATCTTATAGAGCCATCGATTGCCGACAACATTGCCGGAGGAAGGAGGGGGAACTAAAGTCCATGTGTTATTTTTGAGGAGGGCGGAAATTTCATCCTTCATGGCATTCTGCCACTGAGGAAGAGATTTGGCTTGGGTAAAGGATGTAGGAGCAGTAGACAAGGCTGGGGAAACAGAGGTAAGATGAGCCGAGGGATCAAAGATTTTCTTGGGCTTGGGTTGTGGACGAAGTGTCATTGAGTGCTGACGAGAAGAAGGAGGAGGAGGTGGCGGCGGAGGACTGCAATCAGATGATGAAGGGCTGGATGCAGGAGATCTAGCTAAAAGTGATGAGTCGGGAGGGATAGGAGGAGACGAAAGAACTGGTGTACTAGAAGGAGACGAAGAAGACGCAGAAGACGATGCAAGTATACCAGGAGAACTGGTTACACGCAACCAAGGGGTAGCGAAGACTCCAGAGCGAAGAAGGAGAACTAGAAATAGGAAGTTTAAAGGGAAAGAGTTTCTCATCAAACTCAACGTGACGAGCAACATAAAGACGGTTATTCACCACATCAAAACAGCGATAACCAAGATGAGATGGAGAATACCCAAGAAAGACACACTGAGTAGAACGAAAGGAGAATTTATGTTTATTATAAGGGCGAAGAAGAGGATAGACAGCGCAACCAAAGACACGAAGAAAGGTATAATCAGGTGGCTGGTGATATAGTGTAGTGAAGGGTAGGTGACCTTGAAGAGGTTTACTAGGGTGGCGATTAATCAAAAACACAGCAGTTTCAAAAGCAAACTCCCAAAACCGAAAAGGGGTACTGGAATGGCCAAGGAGAGCAAGTCCAATGTCGACAATGTGACGAATTTTGCGTTCAGCAGTGCCATTCTGCTCATGAGTGTGTGGACACGCTAAACGATGAACAATACCAACATCCTTAAAGAAAGAATTGAGAGAACGAAATTCACCACGAAATTCAACATCCTTAAAAAAAATTGGTTTTGTTAAACCTAGCTCTGATACCAACTTAGAATAGGGAAATTGTATTGAATTCATAATATGTTGTGCACAATATACAGACTATATATAGACAATAACAAACCCTATAATAGGAATATACTAAATATTACAATAGTCTTGGATTGCTATTTTTCGAAGTTAGGTATGTTGCACAGTTGATTATGTGGTCACTTTGTTGCATTGCAATTGAACCTCTTAGCTTGTGCTAACAAAAAGAAATTTCCTTTTGATTGCTTGAAAGATCTTCGTGATGATAGAGGATACATGGCTGATCATATGGGTTGTAACTTTATCACGTCTGCTCGGGTATCTCTTTTCTTCACTTGTAATCCTAGGTTACTACTTATCACACTGGTCATGGAAAAGAACACAATTTCTGGTGAGGAGAAATTTTTCTGACTTCTGAGTTCTACAGGGTGAGGAGCTGAGGAAACAAATTGGGGCAGCAGTGTACATTGAGTGCAGCTCAAAAACACAGCAGATTTGTTGATATTATCCCATTTTCCTATGCTTGAGATGAATAGTTTTCCGAGTTGGATATTATGGGCTGATCCTTATAGCCATTGGTAAATTTATTTTGATAAATGGCTAGCCTCAGTCTCATTCTCATTACTGGCCTTGTAAAATTGTTACTTGTTTAGAATTTAAAAGCTGTGTTTGACACTTCCATCAAAGTTGTTCTCCAACCTCCATGGAGGAAAGAAGTTGCTAGAAAGAGAAGGCACAGAACCTTTGGCTGCTTCATTGTGTAAGTTGCTGCATTTCAATTTGATCATGCACATTCTCTGCCTTTCTTATTGAAAAAGTTTAGAATGTGAAAGCTGTATATAAACTTCTGATATGAAAGATTTTGCAGAGACTACAATCATTTTATTTATTTTTTTGGCTAATCCTAGAAGAAACCTTTTAACGGTTCTATAATCATCTTCTTCTCTCTGAAACAGGCGGGCAATGGTTTGCGGAGGATGTGCTGCTTAATCAAGCCTAACGAATTGATCACTTGTCAGTGGCATCAAGAATGAATCTTTCATCAACTGTATAACAACCTTTGACCTATATATAACGTTGCTACTTACTGGTAGTAGACTTGTAAGTGTTTTGGTGGGAGGGGGGAGTTTTTTTGGGGGCTCAATGAAATACGGGCGTAAACCAGATTGATGGCACAAAAACACAAACTAATATTGTCTTCTGTGCTTAGCTTTTTTCTAGTAGACAAAGATCTTCATAATAATAACCTATTGACCTTTAAATTAATCTATTCAAACTGTTTTCAATCTTGGCAATAAATCATAATATATCTAGTGTAACTGATTATACAGTTCAAAATTGTTACTACTCCTCCATAGCTCACCATAAATAACACCGTAGTTAATTTACTCACCAAAGAGTAATAACAATGTATAAGGATAAGGATAATAAAAATCAGAAACAGCACCGTAGTTAATTTACTCACCAAAGGGTAATAAAAATGTATAAGGATAAGAATAATAAAAACCATAAACAAGAGATATTACTAATTAACAATAACATTGGAAAAAGCATATTCATTGATATTAAAATAGCACTTTGCTTGTATTGACTGGGAAAAAAAATCAGAAGTTCTACGAAAATTTTAAAAATGTAGAATCTTGCATATCAAATACTATTAAAATTTTCAATTATAAATTAGAGTTTTTGAGATTTATACTATTTTAGAATTTAGTTTTTGTTGTGATTTCTTTGTAAAAGAATGTGTTATTAGTCTGAATTTAATAATTAAAAAAAATACTTTTCGTCTCGAATAAGGCTTATGCAAAAATTTTTACTGTTCAAAGTCTGAATTTAATTTTTCCGAACAAGAATAAAATAAAATGCTTCTATTGTATTTAATATTCCTCGATTACACATTACTAAGTCCAACAGAGAAATATATTTTTTTAAATATTCTTAATTACGATTTATATTACACAAGTATTAGTAAAGACTAGTCGCGCAACGCGTGACACCAAAAAACTAGTTACAGAAAAGAAAGAAAAAAAATCTAAAAGATGATACGAGAGACAAATCTATTTATATAAGAGACAAATTTATTCCATCCGGTCCTTATTATAAGCCATTTTGATTTCTCATTAGTTTCATTTATCATGTCTTTTTAGTTGAAAATGAAACATTAAAAATACTTTATATATAATAATTGGGAGAATAAATCGAATGTGAAAGAAAAAAGAAACTTTTAAAAGTTTTATTTCCAAAACACAATAAATAAAATTAAAAGAAATCAAAATACCTTATAATAAAGACGAGGAATATTTAGAATTTATAATATCATCAACTCTATTTAGGCAAAAATCCTGTATTTGTTGGGCCGTTATACGTAGAGCTTAAATATTTATACATCATCATACTTCGATTTCGTTTGTTTGTTTTTACTATTATTTTTTTTTGGTTAGTTATTTCTTTCTTAAATAACCCAACTGATGCATAAATCCATTTGCAATAATTCAAAATCAAATCCAAATCCTTCTGCAATAACTCAAACTCACCAAATTTCGACAAAATCTATTCAGATCAAGGAAGAAAACTAAATTCAACGCACGAGGGAAAAAATTGAAGGGGGGAAAAGAAAGAAAAAAGTGTGCTAAATGGCTACAAATTAGATTTAATTGTTCAATGGAATTTCTCCTCTAAGAATTCTGGGTAAAGTCTTATTGGGAGTCTGACATGGCATTGGCGCAATATGATTTCAGTATATACGGTTATTCAAACAAATAGTACTACTTGAGTTCATGAGGAAAACAAAAGGCCATTTTTGTTATCTTAATTAAAGGCCGTATTTTTAGTACATTTCATTAAGTTGTGTACACTGAATGCCTGTATGGCAAACAAGGAACAGTACATGATCATCTAGCGTCTGTTATTACATTGCGGATGTCGATGGCTTTCAGGGGCTGTACTTGGTTTTTAATTATCTCCGTACTGATTGACTTATAACTGCCTATTTCCATGAGTTTTCGGTTAAGTCTTTTTTAATCCAAAAAAAATAAAAAAATTAAAGAAATTAAGTGAACTGAATGAATAAAAAAGAAAAGAAGAAGAAGAAAAAAGATTCTGTAAAGATCTCTAATTGATTGGATCAAAGGTCGATTAATTGAGTCTCATTTAATCTCCGAAAGATACATTTTATCACAAAATAATATTAGTACAATAACCACAATCTCTTCTAATTATAATTCAAATATGACTCTTCTCCTACGTATTGTGTACGTACTATACAACGTATTTATTATAAATGCATGTAAGAGAAACCAAAGGTTGTATGTTATCAAAATTTATTTATTAAATAATGGCTTCAACAAAAGCTCTACTGTTCGCCTTCTTTTTCTTCTTCTTTTTGACTGGCCAACAGGAAGCTTTTGCTGCGAAAAAGGTACACATATGCTTCAGTTTTCTCGTTCTTTTTTTCTATTAATGAATTTTGCATGCATGATACTGAATTACTTCATATTGCAGTCATATGTAGTCTACTTGGGAGGTCATTCTCATGGTCCGGAAATAAGTTTGAATGATCTTGATCGGGTCACAAATTCTCATCATGACTTGTTGGTTTCGATCCTGGGAAGGTTAATTAGTATTCGATGTCATTTGTTAGATTGTTTTGAAAATGATCTAGTCTTAATAACATGATGAATAATTTTTATGTGCTTCTCTTTTCAGCAAAGAGAATGCGAAAGAAGCCATAATTTATTCATACAAGAGACATATAAATGGTTTTGCTGCCATTCTCGAAGAGGAAGATGCAGAGAAGATTGCAAGTATGTATTCTTTTGGACCCTTTTAGTTCATGAATTTATTTTGTTATCAACCTTTTTTTTTTTCTTCCTTCTTTTCTTTCAATTTGATTGTGTGGAGGGTGGAACTAATTAATCTGAAACTTTGGAGGCGCTCCCCTTGCTAAAACAAAATTGTCTGCATGTATAAGTAATTATGTCAATGATTTTACGTAAATAGTTATGTAAAGAAATGGTATAGCTAAAAAATGTGTAAATTCTATTAAAATTTGTCCCCAAATATATTTATCTAGTTATTCTTTTTTTTTTTCGTTAAAAAAACTTATTCAAAATTTTGACAGATTGTATCCAAAATGTAGCCCGTAACCATCCAAATTAGAGTGGCTCGCATTATGGTAATGAAAGATATTAGAAAAGGAAAAGAACGGGACAAAAAAGATAGAGATCCTATTTTTATGAATTCTCTATGTGTTAGAAAACTAATCTACTTCATTAATTGAATCAAATCATACAATACAGTGACTTTTTTTTTTTTTAGAAAACAATGACAATTATAACAAGATTGTCAAGAATCATTTTCCTCGATGATAAAAGTTTCCTCTCAAGTCTAGTAATAATTTTCTACCTCATTCATAAGTCATAAATTACTATAAATCAACAAGACAAAACTAATTTTGATAGGCTAGCTTCTTTTCTATTTGAAAATGAAAAAATCTGACCGAATCTGCATAGGTTTTAATTCCACAAGAGAAAATGAGGCGACCTTTGTGAAAGCCTAATAGGTTAGTAATATAAAATTCCCTCCATCAAAAGAGTAAACTCTCCACACATTAATATGTTAGGTTTGTAAAATTGCAAGATCTTTTAAAAGTTACCCTTGTTCTAATCAAAATACTTTAACAAAGTCATTTATTAAATTCAAAATTTTGTTAGCTTAATTACCAATGCACAAAATAGGTATTCACATTATAAGTTCAAACACTACAAAGGGAAGGCTGCGAATTGTGCGCAGCCCTAACGTTTTTCTTTCTTTCATTTTTTTTTCTTGTTTAATATACCGCAGTGTCCGCATAACACCCGATGTTATCTTGCACGGGAGTATGATTATATATATTGAGCACAATTAAAATCCAATTGTGTTTAATCAACTGCTGAATTGAACTCTTCTTCCGTCACCCACAAAAAATTTGCACAACAGTACAAATCTCAAAACTCGGTTTATATATTTTTTTGGAGGGAACAAATGAAGTACTTATAATTCAACATAGAAAGGAGTATTGACAACTCTACTCATATTAATTCTGCCAATCTTTCCTCACGGTTTCAGCATTTCGAACTCCCCTTTCGTTTGACTGAAGTTAGTCTTCATTTCATCTAGACTCATCTTATACTTCAATTCATAAATTTCGATAATGCTTATTTAAAGGGCCTATAGCGAGAATTTGCTTCCTTCTACCTACAAAGTGATTAAGTGAATTCTGGGCGCCCGGAGAGCCTTTTTGTTTTCTTCTTTTTATTAATATTTATTTTTGAATCCTATTAAAAATGTTAACGAGAGAATTCGACCGTGATACGTAGGGCATCCGGCGGTGATATCAGTGTTCGAAAATAAAGGGAAAAGTTTGCATACAACTCGTTCATGGACGTTTATGATGCTTGAGGATGCCAATGGGGAAGTTTCTGATGACTCACTTTGGACCCGAGCCAATTTTGGAAGAGACGTCATCATTGCTAACCTCGACACTGGTATGCCCCTTTCACTATGTTATTTTATGCATTAATATACCTCAGACATGATTGTACGATTTGAATTATTATTTTTAATTTAAATTGTAGCAAAAGTAGAGGGAGTGCCATTCACTTTTATATCATATTGATATATTTGTCCAAATTTTAATAATCAACATGGGTGTTTTGATTAGAACTTTTTTCTTTTGGTAATTATTATTATATAAGGTGTTTGGCCGGAATCGGAGAGTTTCAACGACCATGGATTCGGTCCAATTCCATCAAAATGGAAAGGCATTTGTCAGAATTCCAGCATAATCCAATGCAACAAGTAATTTATTCACTGTATTTCATTATTATACTTCCGATTGTTATAGTACTTCTGAGAGCTACTACCTAGTTTGAATTTTCATTTCGTGATTAAAATAAAAATTCAAACCATCTGATCAATCATAGGGAATAAAAGCTAATTGAATTATTTCAGGAAACTGATTGGAGCAAGGTACTACAATAAAGCATATCTAGAACTAGAATCCAACGCCACCGTCACCCTGAGCCCTGATAGGTTCTCCGCCCGGGACTACGAGGGGCACGGGACCCACACCCTCTCCACCGCCGCCGGCAACTTTGTGACCAATGCCACCATCTTGGGTACCCCTCTCGGCACCACCAAAGGCGGGTCTCCGGCTGCCAGGGTGGCTGCTTACAAAATTTGCTGGCCATCGAAAGTCGGGGGATGCTACGAAGGCGATATCTTAGCGGCGTTTGACCAGGCCATTCACGACGGCGTCGACGTGATTTCCTTGTCGGTTGGCGGCACTGCAAATGATTACCTCTATGACGGACTTGCCATTGGTGCTTTCCATGCTATCCAGAACAACGCGGTGGTTGTCGCGTCGGGCGGGAATTCCGGGCCAGATCCATGGACTGTGTCTAACGTGGCTCCTTGGTTTATCACCGTTGCCGCGAGCACCATTGATCGCACGTTTCAATCCAACGTCCATCTTCAAAATGGAATCATCCTCAAGGTAATTTAGCCCGACTCTTCTAAATTATTGCATTTATCTAACCTAGTTATCTTCAGTGTTTCAAGATATTCTCACCGTTCCAAAACGATTGTCTAATTTGGTAGAAGTCATTATAGAGTGAATGAAAGTCTAATAACACATTGGCATAGATCACATTTTAAAACAATGTGGTGAAAAATTTAAATGTGATTATAGATTATTTATTAAGACATTTTTAAGTGTCTTATAAAGACCTTTTTCTTGTAGTGATGTCTCCGAAAAACAGGTTGTTTCTTTCTTACATGTTAGACCACCAGCAAGTTTTCCGTGATTCTGTTGGGCGAAAAATGAACCCGGATTAATTTCATTAATTAAATATTTTTTGTTTTTTTATATATGATGATGCGTGCTACTATACTCATAAGTTGAAACCCTTGTGTAATGAATGTACCATCAGGGAGAGAGTTTTTCTACCACAAAGACAGAGAAGAAATTCTACCCTTTGATTTACGCTGCAAATGCCGGAAATGCTAATTCCTCCGTCAAAGATGCGTAAGTGGATCTTAGATTATAAGTAGCCAAAAAAACAATTTCATAGTATAATAAGTGATCAAATAATTAGTACCTATATATAATTGCTTCTTTTTTTTTTTTCATTTCTACAGAGAACTATGTTCTCCCGGCAGTCTTGACCCGGAGAAAGTTAAAGGAAAGATAATTGTATGCTTGAGAGGTGAGTCAGCCAGAGTGGCGAAAGGAGTCGTAGCTGCTCAGGCCGGCGCCGTTGGGATGATTCTATGTAACAATGCCGCCGCCGGGAACGGTATTAATGCCGATCCCCATTTCCTACCGGCCACACACATCACTTACCATGATAGTCTTCCCCTCCTTTCCTACATCAACTCCACCAAGTAAAATCTTATTTAATTACGTAATGCCTACTTTAGAAAATATGGTTCTGTTGTCAAATGGTTTATTATTCATTATTTTTGTGGATGTATGATTTATCAATGTTTGACAGGGAACCAAAGGCTTATATACAACCTCCTGAAATACTATTCGACAATAAGCCGGCTCCACAGCTAGCTGATTTCTCTTCTAGAGGTCCTAATCCAATTAATCCTGAGATTATCAAGGTTAGCAGTAACACAAGTCTTGATATTTTTTTTTTCATCTATTTATAATGAAAGATAGATAAGATAACACTAGTAACTGAATTTTGTTACCTTGTAGCCTGATATTACTGCTCCGGGAGTAAATATCATCGCGTCATACTCTCCAGCTGCTTCACCGTCCGATATATCCGAAGACACGCGGCGAACCCCTTTCATGATGACGTCTGGAACTTCCATGTCTTGTCCTCATGTTTCCAGCGTCGTAGGACTCCTCAAAAGCCTCCACCCGGATTGGAGTCCCGCTGCCATCAAATCTGCCATCATGACTACAAGTAACAGAATTAATAAACTATATATGCTCTCTACTTGCTTCCTGTATAAATAGTGTACATTGTAAATTATAATATTAATTTTGATACTATTTGATTTTATAATAATATGTATCATGCATTTTTTTCTTTCTTATTAAACAAACAGGTCGAACTCGTGACAACATGAAAAATCCGATGAGGGATTTGTCTAACAACGAGAAGGCGGACCCATTTGGGTACGGATCCGGGCATATACGGCCAAACCGGGCCATGGATCCCGGGTTGGTGTACGACTTGACCGTGAAGGATTATTTCAACTTCCTTTGTGGAAGTGGCTACAACGAAACCTTAATCCGTTTGATCGCTGATAAGTCATACAAATGTCCAAAGAAATTCAACCTCAACGACTTCAACTACCCCTCCATTTCCGTCACGGACCTCGAGCCGCAGAAGCGAGTCACGGTGACCCGCGCGCTGAAGAATGTCGGCCTTCCGGGAACTTATGTTGCTCGATTACGCCGCCCGGCCGGAGTTTCGGTGACGGTGGACCCAAATGTGTTGACTTTTGGTAGGTACGGAGAAGAGCTGAGCTTCAGTTTGATCATAGAAGCTGGAAAAAGTCATGATCATCACAATGCTTCATCTTTATTTGATCATCATGAATTTGGAGAATTGCTGTGGACAGATGGAAAGCGTAACGTGCGGTCTCCAATAGCTGTTTCTTTTGCGCAACCAAGAAATTAACGAACTGATTGGGAACACTACAACAAATTATAAATATGCTGTCTATGTTTAGAGTTTATTTGGATCCTTTCGGTAGCGATTAGTTCTTAGTAATATTGGTTTTTCTTCTTTTTTTTTTTTTTCTCTTAAGTTCTTAATATTTTTCAGACAAATGATATGTGTATTAATTGGAGATCTAGAAAGTGGTCAAGTAGAGTATTGGCTCAAAATTAATGTTTTTCAATTTGGTGTTTTTTACTCCCTCTACGTCGGTAAAAAGAAAAATGGCCACAAAGTACAGTGTGTATAATTTTCTGGGAAAGAGGGAGGTACATTTTATTTAAAAGAACATTTTGTTGTTTTTATTACATTTTATATGTGTTTGTTTTTTCTCTTGGCATGATAACATAGACGTACAATTTTTTTAAAAGAGAATATACCCCCAAATATATATATATATATATATATAGAAGACGGTTGTGATTAATTGTTATCAATTTGTAATTTAATTCTGAATGACCAAAAAAAGGCTTCAATTAATGGATCCAACCCAATCTAAAGCTTCAAGTTTTAAATAGAACAATATTAGGTGCAAGGAAAATTTGCGAGAAAAATTTACAAGAAATAAATTAAAATCGTCTATATTCACACTTCAGTTTTAGAGATTTATCGGGGATAGTTAATTTTCAACCACATTATTCTTAAATTTTTTTGTCAGATATTTCTGGCATGAATCACTATTCTTTTAAATATAAATGTAGTTCTTTCAATTTTCTTTAGTGTGTCTATATGATCAATCCATAATTTTGGCCTTATTTTTTTCATTTTACTAGTGATCCATCAGTGATTATATTAGAGTCTCTTAAGCTGTATTAGTTAACTAAAGAAAGAATCTATACGATTTAATTAATGAATCAGTTCATGAAGTAGTTAGTTAGGCTAGCTACCTAATATAATTTATTTAGCTAACAAAATTAACTTATAAATTCTCTAAAAACTCCAGTTCTAATCTCCTTTCATGTTTTAATCAAACTGTCATTTTTTTTTTCGGAATACTAAAAACTCGAACAAAACATTTTTTAATTATTAAACATATTCACCACGAGGACAAAGGAATTATAAAACCTCCATTTGCTCACTGTATATAAGAGTACATAATCATCGGGCGCAATACATCGGCTGAAACATAAAAACAAATAGTATGGGAGAGATTAATCGATCAATAATGATAATAATTCCATACTTTTAGCATTTGGGTTGGGCCACGTGGCAGGCCTTACCAATCATTTTGGCATTCTTGGAGTTCATTAACTTCCTGAGCACGGGATGCTTCCGGTACATACAAAAGTGTTAGCAAAAGTGTATAGCGAGATATTTGTAATGAAATTCAAGAAAGAGGGAATTCCGAAACACGTGAAAACATGAAGATTGTTAACAAAAGTGTATAAGGAGATATTTGTAATGAAATTCAAGAAAGAGGGAATTCCGAGACACGTGAAAACACGTTTTCCTTAAAACAGATTCGCTCTCTCTCATAGAGTGCTAGAGGATGTAAAAGCGTCTGTTTCTCAGGATACAACAGATGACGTGATATTAGTATTGCACTTAGACAAAATCACCGACGAACTGGAACAAAGCAATACGATGAACACCAAGGAAAGGCTTATAGATATTTGGCTAAGGAGAATAGAAAGGCAAGGACATTTTTTTTTTAGTATTGAATCCTTGAAATAAATTTGTATTTATAGGATAGAGAGAACAACCAATTGAATGGGATTAAAAGCAGCCATCACTCCCAAATTAATTAAAATAAAACCAGCAATTTAATGAAAAACCGTTTTTGATTTTGGGAATGAAAAGACTATTTAATATTCCAATTAAATTGTGTATAACTCTCCGTTAAAATGATTAGAAGACTCAAATCGGTAGCACGGGTTGATCAAGTCCATGAGTTACAACCCGACTTTCGTGAGTCTAGGCCACACCTTTACACGAGTCAAGCATCACTTAGCTTATACTCTATTTCCAATCATATGAGAAACAAATTTCTCATTCACTTATAAATAGTATTATTTTCAACAATCCCCCACATGAATAGAAATTGTTTTTAGATCGAGGATTTGATGTTCATCAACTAGTCCCTGCATAGAGAAAGTAGGTGTTACCCTTTGAACTTCCCCCTTGTAAAGTATGTTTGCTTTACTAGCTGTCCAGTAGACGCGATATCCTTGAACTGTCCGGCTGTATTGTGTAAAGAACCCACATACAATACACAACAACCATTTTCGGTTTGTTCCGTTCTCATTGTATTGTTCGTTTTGGCCATGAACACGTCCTGATTCTGCGAGAGTATCTCAAGAATTGAGCCTGACCAATTCTCCTTTGAAGCGGTCCCATTTCTCTCTTACACAGGCGACTTCATAAGTTTGGAGTAAACGATATTACTCACTTAAGAGTCATTAAAGCAACAATTTGGTATCCTTATCCGTTATATCACTATTTCATGACAGAAATGAGTTGAGGTTACCCCCACAGTGACCACACTAAGTCTTAAGATTAGGTTGTCCCTTTGAACCTAGATCTTGGGATCTCCAGTCAACTAGGTTGGGTTTTCCTTCAAAAGACTTTTATACTTTCCAGGCTGTCTCATTTCTTTTGTCATTTTCTCAACTAATCACTCTGTTTAACCCTCAGGTTAGCGGATTCGTAATGTTATCTTTTGACTTCACGTAGTAAATTAAGATTTCTATAGTTGAGAACAGTTGCATAATGATACTGTATCTACAACAAATAATGTCAAAAATTACTAGTATACAATTGACAACGTGTCATTCCACATCTCTGATTAATATATCAGTGGCACAATCATCCCCATTTTGAAATATTATTCAAAACCTGCAATACCATTTAGCATGTGTCTCACAACTATCCGATACACAATTTGGATTTCATTGTGAACCTGGCTATCACAATCTAGTTTTAGGGATTTTCAAAACACGTATGTCCAGGCTAGCATTCAACCATATCCATAGCCATTAGTGCTTTTTTGAGTCATCGGCACCCAATATCCAGTTTCTATCTGTGTAGCTTTCTAGCACAGTTGGATATCTACTATGTGTAACTCAACACGAGAATATCATAGGTACCTCAGTACTTCAACAACAACATTCTAATGCACTTCACTTTTATTACTCGTGTGTGCATTTCACCAGCTTACTTCATAAGCATTTATCTGATCTAGTGCAACACATTTGATGCATTAGTCTCTCGATTATCCATGAGTATTCTATTTAAATAATACCCTTTCCAAGGAACTAGAATAAACGAAGAATATTATCTCATGTTGTTCTAGCAACTCTAGATTCATTCTCAATCAAACTCTGCAAGAGTTTTGTCTACGAGTCTGACTCGCAATAGGATTATTAGTTATTTGTATGATTTTAAAAGGTTAAAATCATATCAACAAGTCCCATTTGTCAAATTTCTAATTTCACACGCTAACGGACTTGCCCAACTTTCCATCGCTACCGACAATTAAGTATATATTTCTTATATAGACATCAAATGCCTTAGACTTCTCATGTCCTTTTGGCATAGACATACTATTTGATTTCTATTGGTAATCTTTGAACATGTTCCAAGCGTATCTAGACTTTACCAATTTTTATTATCAGTACTTGGAGCTTTAAAACCCTCAGGTTGCTCCGATCCCGTTGAAGGGAACATCCTTCAATCTCACCACGAGAGAATACATTTTAAGTAATCTAAACAAACTTACTATTTATTTACTTTCATTACTTATGTGAAGTAAACTTACTTCCAAGTACGATTATTCAAAATAGAATCGACACCTTTTATGGCTTCTCCATAAAAATTCATCATAAGAACAAACATAATTTCGTGATTCATTTTCCAATAAGTAGGATTCAAATCATCTCTAAATGATTTTCATTTGGCTCTTAGCCACATCTTGGTTCTCAACATGAACCATTTCGTTTCCAAAAAGAATTACATATTCTTTTCATCGCATCATAATGTTCTTTTGTAAATTTGACAAATTCAAAAAACACATAAAGAACCACTACATGGTATTGTAATGTACTCATGGCCAATAAAGATATAATCGAACGTAATAGGATGTATCTATATTGCCTTTAATGCAAGTATCAACACCAAGATACTTTGACATTTGCAAGTGTTTGATTGTGTTACTCATATAAGACCCCACACTCGCAAGTGTTTGTAGGGTGGTCGCAATTTCTTTTATGATACCTTAACAAGGTAATCACTAGACAAGAAACTTTCCCCACACTTGGTGATAATACCCAAGTTAGAGAATCACATTTATCATTTCATCAATGTGTGACATTTCAATACACAATCCGATTGGATTCATGTAAGTACATGGTAGTCACTTCATAGACAATTCTATGATGTGCAAAGAAATCACCTATTGGTGCCCCA